TAGTTGATGGAAAATGTCTATTGCTCCAAGATGCTGTGCCTTTGGGAATAAATTATGAGGTATTTAGGAAAATGGGAGGACTTGGAAGCACTTAAGGCTACAGGATGTGGCTCCGTCCTGTGTTCAGCGTCAGTTTTCAGTGATGCTGCCTTGTGTCCATGTGCTTGAGTTCTTCGTGTGTGCCTTCAGTTTCCTTCCTTCGTGCTCTTTCTCATGTGGTTTTCTCATCCTGGAATACCCTTTTCCACCTACCAGAATCCACATCATAGTAAAAATCCCAGAGTACAGGCCTGCCCTCTTTTCCAGAAAGGGATTTTCTGAATATGTTTTTCACTCTTCCCTGACCCCAGGTGGATATCATCTCCCTGTCTAGTGTTATGGAATGAATGTCACTTTTAGCCTACAGTGGTATGTCTGCCTCTTTTCCTCTGGTGGATGGTGAATGGTGCTTCCTTATTTCTGTATTTTCTGGTTTTCTAAACGACGTGCTTAGCGGACAAGAGTGTGGTGAGTGATTGAAACAAACCGAGAGGATAAACAAACAAACATCAAATGTGACCAGAAGGTGTCACTTTATGGTAAAGAAAAGTGCACTTAAAAATTAAAAGGCAGATTCACATGCCAGGTATTGTCTTGTTATTATAACATGTTAGAATTACACATAGGATTCTTGGGATGGCTTGATTTCTCAGAAAAACTGAAATATGACGAAAAAAGGGACGATGGCCTTGCTGGAGGTTTGAAAAGTAACCCAGCGATGTGTAGGCCTGCAACTGTGTTATCAAATCCATCTTCTCCTGTAGCTAGAGGGGCACTGTTTCAGTTTGGTGCAGTGCCGTTCTTTAGTGAAATGTTTTAAGCCCTTGGACTGTGGATCATTTTTACCCCCACAGTCAACAGTAGATACTTACTGACTTCTTGTCAGCGGAAGCTGGCTTTTTAAAAGGGGCCTTTCTTCTAGGGGTATGAGAGACTTCACCGTGAGCGATGTCAGTTTCCTCGCAGACCCTTGTGTCTTCCTGAACAACAGAAGAAGTTCTGTTTAGATGAGAAGGAGAAACTGGTTTATGTACCTCTTTCTGAAGTTGGGGGTGTGCTGTATGACAAAGACACTGTCTATGTTGACCTTGGTGGCAGCCACAGTTTTGGGGCATCAGTGAGACAGGATTCATTGCTCTGAACTCTCATTCTTCTTTCTGAATCTATTTTTTAATCACAAAAAGTAACGTACTCAGCTTTTATTTATTGAAGACTTTTCTCTTGTACTTACGATAAAGACCCAAATGCATATTGTAAATCTATAGAATTAAAAGAATACTTTTTTTTTCATTGTACCAAGCAGAAGAGCCCTGTCCTCCATGCCTCCTTGATCCATGGCCCCAGCACGAGCACTGCTGCCGGTGTGGCGCCTGCACGGCCCATTGCCATTTCTACAAAATCAGTGTGCTTTCCAGCTCTCGTTGGTCCTTTTCTTTTTCTCATTCATGGTGGTCTCCTCCTCTGTATTTTAAAGTGGGTTTCAAATGTTTATTTGTCAGTTCTGAAGTTGAATTGTATTGGGTTAAAATCAGGGTTACTTTAAAATGTTAGAAAAGCTAGCATTGTTGTACCATTGGAACTGAGGTTTTTCTAGCTAGGTGTTTAGAATATCAGGTTATATACTCCCAGAACATTGGAAAAGTTTAATGGAGATGGGGATCCATTTCAAGGTCTCACTTTGTCTCCAGGCTGGAGTGCAGTGGCATGAACTTGGCTCACCGGGGCATTGAACTCTCAGGATCAAATGATCCTCTCACTTCAGCCCCCCAAGTAGCTGGGACTGCAGGAGTGCAGGAACTTTCAGCCTGTCTCCTGTGTCCTTTCAACCACTCCTGGCTAAATTTTTTTAACTATTTTCTAAAGATGAGGTGTCACTATGTGGCCCAGGCTGGTCTAGAACTCCTCAGCCCAAGGAATCCTCCCGCATTGGCCTCCCAAAATCCTTGGATTAGCCTAGTCTATTATTGCTGTATTCCAGCTTACCCATCTCTTATCATATGATTTTTAGTTGTTCCTAATTTATGTTTTTATAATTTTGTATATTGTGCTATGTTAAACACCTTGATGCAGTTGTGTTTCGTCCTGTGATTTTAGCCTCCTGATGATTCTGTGTTATCAGTTGTGGCACTGGTGACTTGAAATGGATGTTCTTCCTCTGTCAGTCCCCCTATGTCTGTTAGCTGGCATTTTTAACAAAGAACTTTCACTTCTTCCCTTTATTTTCGGTATCACTGGTGACTAATGCACTTTTATTCCATGGGTTATTTTCTATCACTGTCATTGTTCTTTCTGATGCCTGTGCTGTCCTAGATTCAGCTGCAGGAGCCTTCAGCCTGTCTCCTATGTCCTTTCAACTGTCTCTGTTAGTCTTTGAGCATGTCTTACTTTCTGACAGAACCAGAGGATCCAGGCTCATTTTATCTTCTTTCTACTTTGGGCCTGGAATTAGCCATTTCTCTTAAGGATCATGTATTTTTAGCTTAGAAATTGATGAAATTTCCAAAAGATCTACAAAACACTAACTTCCTTTTTGAGCAATTTTCTTCTAAATTTAGATTAACCTTTTAAAAGGGTTATTCATTTATTCTCTGTATATACTTTTCTAAAGTGTGGTATTAGGGAACCATGCCTGAGTTTGCGTATTAACTCTTCCAGTGTTTATCAGATCATTTTTTACCTCTGCTATGTCATCCTAAACAATTCTTTGACATTTTCTATTTCTTTGTATTTTTATTGACCTTATTGTCATTTCTAGATTTGCTGATGAACCTGCAAATTGAATTCGTTTGCATTTCCTTGGTAATAATGTAGGCTGTTTATGCCAAAGGAAGAAAAACAAATGGGCTTGAAACTGATCAAATGCGATAGAAAGCCATTTTTGCAGATGAAGATGGACCTGGAGATAGTGATGTTGAAGAAAATGAAATTTCTGAAGATGACAGATTGGAAACTGTCTCAAGTGATGAGGAAGCAGAAGAGGAGGAAAATGCTGAGGTGACTGATCAGTATATGACTGCTAAGGGCATCAAACGAGGGAAGCTTGAGTTGGAAGAAGACAGTGAAGTAGATTTGCCAGCATTTGCTGACCGTGACGTTGAGCTTGAGGGGAGCTCAGCAGAAGGGGAAATGGAATAAGCTGGGGAAAGCAGTGAGGAAGAGGACTGCACTGCAGGAGAGAGGGGCATTTCAGGATCAAAGACTGTTGGAGAAGGTAGTAAAGCAGAGGTGTCACAAGCTAATCCCCAGAGTGATCCTGTAAATCTGGAGAAGTCTTTGTCGATGAAGAAAGCAGCCCTTACCTCTTCGTCTCTGGGCATTGCACAGCTGACGAGGCATTTGCATCTGAAGATGAATCTGAAGAAAGCTCTTCATTCAGTGCAGAGGAAGAGGACCTGGAAAATGAGGACACTTTTAGGAAAAAGGTTTCAGAGCCTTCTCAAGTGGGCAGTGGTCAGAGCCTCGGGTGAAGAAACTTAATTGACGAGACCAGTGTTATAGAAGATTTACTCAAAGAAGAAGAAGATTGCAAGGAAGAGAAGAAGGAGTCCACAGAAGCCTCGGGTAAGCTTAAATTTAGTTGGTTGCTGCTATGAACTTGACTCTCGAAATGGTACCCAAAGGAATGTCTACATTTGGGGGTCTGTTGATTTTGAGATTTTGGTAACTGCGAAATGCTGCATTGTGGATGGATCTCGGGGGAGGGGAGACACGTAAACAAGTCTAACTGGAGGTTGACGTTCGTCATTTCAGGTGCCCTCAAGTGGAAGGAAGACCTTTCCAGAAAGGCACTGAGGCCTTTCAGAGACAGCAACAAGCAGCTCCAAACCTCCGAAAGCTTATTTATGGGACAGGCAAAGAATTCTGGCTCAGAGCTGGAAACATTTCAGTTTCTCTGATTATTTTCTAAAAAGGAGATAGGGAATTGGTTGGAGTATTGGGCTGGTATTGTTGACATCCATCATTGCTGGCCGTCACATTTCCTGTTTGGCAGATGTCTTTAATCATCAGCTTACAAGGACCACACATTGGTCTTGTGAAGTACACTTCTGGGTTTGCTGTAAAACTCGATGCAAGTCGTGTCCATTGCATCATGTCATGTCCCCTTTTAAAAAGTCACTCATGAGAAATTTTTTGTAGAATTTAGTGCCAGAAAAATATTTCTGCCCATAAAAGTATTTATTTGCTCCTTTCTGAGAATGAGAGCCCTGTATAACACATTTTGTTCTCTTTTGCCCTTGTCCTCTGATTTTATGCTTTGTTAAACATACCTATATGTTCTTTGTGGTAGAATTAATGCCAAAATAAAGATAGAGTGGTGAACTTTACATTGTGTTCCCTGGTTACTTCACGATGAGATCAAGGCCACATGGTGAGACACTTGGGCTCGGCACAGTGAATTGGGAGGGTTGTTTGGCACTGATTTTCGTTCAGCTTTTGGCTAGGTACTCTCAGTGATGAGAGGCTCAACGCTCTTTAGAGCTCTTCTTTAATAATTGAAAGCTCTGCTTTTAAATGTCCCTTCCCTCCTTGACCCCTAGTATTCTAAGTCCTGCTCAACTGCTTAGCTGCTGCCATGCAGGAGTGCAGGAGCCCCCACACATGTAGAGCAATAGCTTCCTGGCCTCTCTTTACCTGTGGCTGACCTGCCCTCTCAGTGCCTGACTCACCTGTGGCCATTGCTGTACCCACCACAGACAGAGGCCCTTGGTTCCTGAGTTGGAAGAATCGTGGCCTAACTGGTTGAAAACAATGAGTCCTCCAGGGCTGTAGGTTTTGTTCTCACTTTTCTGCCATGGTGTTTTCTTTAGTGACAGAAGATAATGAAGAAGATTATGATACCTGAGAAGAGCTTGGAGGGTTGTTTCGTGTCAGCCAGCCTGATAGCGTGGAAGCACAAGGCCGACTCTTTGGACTGCTTCAGATTTCTTGTGGAGGTGCCCCATGACTGGGATTTAGAGGACGTAACGCTGGGAAATACATTTGATTTATTAGAGAGTTGTTCTAGAATAAGATTATCTGATGTCAATATTCCGTACCTGTTGTTGGTTTCTTATTTTTATAGGATGACAGGTCATCCTCCCAGATACTGCGGTGGACAGTTCATACATTCTAAGCAATAACACATTCTGAGTTTAGTTCATTGCACAGCCCACAGAGGACAGGTTCAGCTTCCAGTATGAACAGTAGTGCCAATCTTTATTTTGAAGCATCACACATAAATTTTTATACATCTGATGTATTTTGTGTCTTATCATTCAGATATATGTAGCATCCCTGAGTTAACATTTATAGTTTCTGCTATTTGTAAGCATCCAGAAATCTGTGATACCTGTAAATGTTCTTCCTGCAGCTCACCGCTTTGTAGCCACACTAGAATTAATTCAGTACTCAAACGCCACACAGCTTACCCTCCTCCTAGGCCTTTTCTCTTTCTCTCTCCTTTTTGAGACGTGGTCTTTCTCTACATTCCAGGCTGGAGTGCAGTGGCACGAGTGTACGGCCCAATGCAGCCTGGACCTCCTGGGCTCAAGGGATCTTCCCACCTCAGCCATCAGAGTAGCTAGGACTATAGGCACGAGCCACCAAGCCTGGCTGCTGTTTGCATTTTTTTGTAGAGACAATGTTTCACCGTGTTGAGTTAGTCTCAAACACTAGGCTAGAGTGATCTTCCTGCCTTGCCCTCTCAAGAGTGCTGGGATTACAGGAGTGAGCCATTTCATCACCCGTTTTCTCTATATTCTCTTCTGGAATGTTCTGATCTTCCAAAGGCTGTCCTCTTTTTTGTCAATTCAGTTTGGCTTAGGTGTCACTTCTCACAGAGGCCCAATTGCTCTCATTCTGCGTATTGTAATTTTCCAGTTAACACTTAATGCTCTTTATGAGATTTCATTTAACCATTTTGTAATGGTGAAATTTAATACAGATACAGAAAACCAAGTAAAAATAATTGTTTAACTTAATGGGTTGCCAGAAAGTGAATACCCCTGTACTCAGCACTCAGGCTGGGAAATCAAGCTTTGCTGCTTGATTACGACACCAGCCAGGGTCCTCTTCCTCCCTGTGGAAGGAGTTGTGGTCAAGCCTCTTGTTGCGACTCTTTTCTTTTCTCCTGGTTTGCTCTTCCATGCGTCCATAAGCATCGTAGTTTACTTTTACCTGATTGTCATTATGCATTTTCCGTCTGTCTTTTAAAATCGTTAGTCAACAACCTTCCTTCCCATTTCTTTTTTTTTTTTTTTTTTTTTTTGATTACATTTTATTTAAAAAGCCAAGTCGTTGGTCTGTAGAGTTTCTCATGGTATGGATTTTGAGGATTGCTTTGCATC